TACAATAAAAATTATCAGATATAAGATATAAATATTGTAATTATTAATTGCAGCAACCTAATCCTGATTTATATCATTATTAAATGCACATTGAGATTAATTATTCATTTAGTTTTCCTTAACATTAATTATTATGGATAATAGTTCAGTAGCATTACTAATAGTGAATGAAAAAAATTTATTTTTAATTTGATTTACTTTGTTTTTGTTGGCTCAGTAAATGAATCCTCCATTGAAAGGTCATATCCAGAAGGTAATTTTTTACATCCAAGTTCGTTTATAGCATTTCTAATTACAGCTACTTGATAACGCAATCAAAGTTCTTCTCTTTCTTGAAAACAATCCGACATTGATTTACTGCAGATAAAGAAAAAAAAATTCTTTGCTATTGCAATCTGATAAAAAATCATGAATTTATAGTTATAAAAATAATATTACTTTATATCACAATTGTTTTCTGCATTTAAGTGGGTAGTTTTCCAAATCACCTGAATAGCTTTTAGCCAATCATCAGTCAAATTATGTATAGTCAATTTATTCGGAAGTAATTTTCCTGATGTATCATCTACAAGAATTTCATCAAAAATAAATTTAATAGAAGATGCAAATCTAATTTTGTAAATAAACATACGTTATAATTTGTAAATCTTTCGTCTTTATAAATGATTTTTTTCAACGCACACTTGTTTTTCCCTATAAAATCTTTGTATTCTTAAGGAAGGCTTTGTATTATCTACAGCCTTTTGCATTCTAGCCTGTATTTCTAAAATTATTTTCAATTGTAAAATCAGCAAACTTGACTACACCTTGCAATATGCCTCCCCCGAAATCAAATAGTATTTGTTCATATAAATTCTATTGGTCTACCTATTATGTATTTTGCAATTTGATAAGGCAAAAAGTATAAATAATTAATTATAATTACGGTTTACGGTATTACAGTATAATGAAAAAGAGGACGAACTCACCAACTTATACGTTACACGTTGAATAAAATTGGAGCTGTAAATCACGGATATAAGAACTGTATAGATGCGTTTCTCACATCAAATTTGAAACTTACCACTGAACTTGAAGTTATGAAGATGGCGTGTGCCTATAAAAATTTGGACGGGGACGGATCCGTCCACGGATCCGAGGACGGATCCCGTGTAGACACTCCCTTAACGAGCCGGCTCGTTACAATGCATTTTAGAAGAATTATTTTATGAAATATTATCATAATAATTGTGAAATCATCACAGTAAGAATGTTTTGAATTGTTTCAAAATTAATTTTCAAAGTGATACTTAAGTAATAAAAAGCTGGCGTAAAATTAATATAGAATTGATTCACTGAAATAATTTTAAAAGATTATATCCATTTCACAAGAATTACTTTATAAAATACTATCTAATTACTTTTAGAATTATTATAGAAAATATTTAAAATTATATAACACAACTAGATATACTATAAATAAATTATTTACTGAATATATAAGTAAAGTTTTAAAAATTATTAAAAGTGCTTTATTTTATATAATTATGGAAGAATACGAAATAAAATAATTGATAAACGTATAGTATTTTATTTAATGTTTACTTTAATATTATCTAGTATATGGATATATATTAGATATACATTATAAATATTACATAAAGCAGATTTCTTATCGAATTTTCACATTGAATTTCTTTCAATTTTAACGAATAATAATAAAAAATGGAAGTGCTTAACGCAATGCTAGGGGTTTAAATAATCCTGAATTAAAATTCCCTTAAGGAGATATGAAACGCCCCTGATAACACCTCGAAGAAATTAAGATTTGGTGCTGCTTGACCAAATTTTGAAAGAACCACTCGATAGAATTGTGTGAAATTTGAACTGAGTAATTCTTGGACATATATCTACAACCTAAAAAAGCGTTTTTATTTTTAATCTAATTTTGATTCTGCAATATTTCAAATTCTGTAAATGCCGATAAGGTAGGTGCTTTCATGAACGTTTCATATGCTCAGTAATGCGTACAAAAGCTTTTTTACGAGATTAAAACCTATAATATTTCTTGGATTATTGGTACGTTAATTTGTAAATTAATTAGTGCATTTTTACAAAAATCATATCAAGAATTAATTCAGAAATAATTTTGAATTATTTTCTGAAATAATTCGGGTGAATCGAAATTTTGCATTTTCATTTAATTCAAAAATTAATTCAGAATTAATTCAGAATCATTCCTTCCGTTAATTTCGAAATTAAAACCTATAATATTTCTTTGATTATCGGTACGTTAATTCGTAAATTAATTAGTGTATTTTTACAAAAATCATATCACGAATTAATTCAGAAATAATTTTATATTAATTTCTGAAATAATTCAGGTAAATCAAAATTTTCCATTTTAATATAATGCAAGAATTAATGTATTGTTACGTTTAAACTTAAAGACTTCGACTTTACTTTATTAATTTTAAAAAGTGTTTACAAACAGATAACCAAGTGTTAACTAACTATTCTGTGTTTTCTATCACAAACATAAACAAACAACATATACAAATTAATGTTGCAGCGGATACATATTCAAATAAGAACTATTCGAAAGATGCACTCGTAACAAAATAATTAATTTATAATTATATCTTGCGTTAATTTGTAACTTTAAACCTATAATTTTTCTTGGACTAATTCAACATTAATCCGTGAATTAATGTGTATATTTGTACAAAAATCATATCACGAATTAATCCAGAAATAATTTTGAATTATTTTCTGAAATAATTCGGGTGAATCGAAATTTTGCATTTTCATATAATTTAAGAATTAATTTTAAATGAATTCAGAATCATTTGTTGCGTTAGTTTCGAGATTAAAACCTATAATATTTCTTGGATTAATTCAACATTAATGAATGATTTAATTTATGTATTTTTACAAAAATCATATCATGAAATAATTTTGAAATAGTTTTAAATTATTTCAAGGTATAATTTTAGTTTTATGTTGTAAATTAATTCATGGTTCCTTTCAAAATCCTTTCTAAATTAATTCATGTATTAATTTGTTTATTTTTACAGGAATCATTACCTGAATTATTTTTAATAGAATTTTAGAATATTTCTTTGTAATATTTCATGTATTAATTAAGAAATAATTTTCTTTTCTTAGAAAATTATTTTTATATTAATTCTTTGCGTTAATTCAAGAATTAATTCAGTGAATTAATTCATGCTCTGTGGGTTATTCAATTGAATACGTTTGGGAAATTTATTTCTTGAGAAACATTAAAATTCATTAAATATGACTCAATAGAATACCATTAAATTGGTTTTTGTTAAAAATATTATTAAAAATTATGCAATATGATTGATATTAATGGTTATTTTTACTATTCATTACGATTACCATTTATTTCCATTAGAAATGATTCGCTTTCAATCGTCACTCGAACATTGAACCAGTCAATCCGTTGATTACCATTCGATATGAATAATTTTGAATCGGAACCAATGGAACTTTTCTAGTAGGGATAGTTTTCTCAGCGAAATCATCTTAAGATCCTTCAGATGTCGTCATAACTAAAACTATGTCATAATTTTTTTTATCTCCCATACCAAAATAACAAAACTATCAACAAATAATATGACCACAGTTAATTAAATTTTGTTACGAGTATGTTGGTGACTATAAAAATGGAAAATCAAGTAACGAAATAAATTAAAATATAATTATGAGAACGAAAATTTACATTTCAGTTTTGAAGCGCATTTTTTATTCATTCTAATATATAGGATCTGGACATGAACGTTGTTTAAAGTTGTATGAAAATAAAGTCATTACAAAAAAATAGAGCCAATATAGATCACTAATAATTCAGAAAAATTGCAATTTTTACGTTAGTGTTTGTTCAAATACATCTGTGTTAAATAGTTTTTACTTTGTTATAGAAAAATTTTGATTTTAACTAATTAAAAAGTTTTATGTGTGCGAGCTTGTAAGCTTGTGTGTGCATGTGTGTAAGAGCATGAACGTGTGTGAGCGTGTATGTAATCCTGGATAATATTTAACAAATAATAAAATTAAAATAAAATATATAAACCGTATTTCTACATAAGAGTTTATAAACAACAATAAATTGCATGATAACTCAATAATTTAATATCACTATTGAGAAACTAAACAATAGAAGATCATTTCCATTGTTTATATAAAAAAAATAAGTTTACAATTTCTGATTTTATCAATTCGCAAATGTCTAGAATATAAAATTTTAGTTTGTAAGTTAAAAGAAAAAAAGAAGAATTTATGAAAATAACTAACTCATAAGAGTAATATTGAATATTTGAATTTACAAATGGACAAATGTGAAAAAGTTCCATATGAATAGTCAGAAATTACGAAAGGACAAAGTTTCGAAGTTTTTGAAATTTTATTTTTTCGTAATTCTATCTTTTGTAAAAATTAAATTAAGAAAAGATGATAAGTTGAAATCGAACTCACGATCCGCATGCCATGTTCTACAATCTTGATCCACGGACGTCCTCACCTAAGTATAATATTTCTTGTTTACATCGATCGCTGAAATCTTTTATATGATTGCGATAATTCAAACATGAATTTTCTTTATTATCTTATTTAACAAATAAGTAATAAATGAACAAATTTTAGATCATATGTAAAATATAATAAAATTCGTAAATACTAAAAAAGTCATCGGCAGTAAAATGGTAAAGTACAAGTCTGCTAGCATGAATGTCTCGAGTTCAAATCTCAATTAGGTTCTTATTTTCTTTTCTTTTTTTTTGGTTTTGTATATGTAGTTAAAATTCTACATATACTGCCAGTGTTATTTCATCCATAATATGGATGTATTATTTATTTATTCGTTTTATAGAAAAAAATCAATTATTAAGTACAAAATTTGTACGAATTTTGTATAAAATTTATACAAAACTTGTAAAAGATTGTTACATATTCTGTACAAAATTTTTATATTTATTTACAGTGAGGTGAGCAAATGATCATGTAGGAATGTTATCTAAGAAGTTATCGGCCCGATAAAGATAAAAATAAATTCGTAAATGCTAGGATATTTGGCAGTAAATTGAATTATATTTAAAATGATACTAAGTTTGAAATTGATTAGTTAATTAGGAAACTCCATGCAGTGTTTAAAAAAACATTTTTTTTATTTTTTGTACTTAATTTAACCACATATTAATTTTTTTTCGAAACGTTATTAATAGTTCCTAAATTAATCAATTAACTTCAAGCATAGCATGACTTTCTCGATATAGTTAAATCTACTATCAATTTATCCAAATATTTATAAAATTATTTTTATCTTCATTAGGTTAAAAACTTCAGACAATCCTCATATTCAATGGAGCGCAGGGGTAGCAACAAAAAAGTGTATGGAGAACGATGCGCACGCGCGAATACGAGGGCAATCGATGTGCTTTGCCGACTGAGTATATTACAGCACAGATTGTGTGTTATGGGTTTTTCAGAGCACGCTGGGAAGGAGGTTGAGCAAGCAAACACTTTTTTGCTCAATTAGTATTAGGGCATGGCAGGTATTCATGGGCAGTTTACTAGTCTCATATTGCTACTCAGTCTATTATTGCAAAGTCATGAAGAAGTGTTGGCCTGTCCCGGAACTTGTTCTTGCAAGTGGAAGGCCGGTAAAGAGTGGGTGGAGTGCGCCGGCCGTGGACTGCAGGGTTTACCACAAGGTGCTCGCGAGGAAACCCAGGTGCTAGATTTAAGCAACAACCAACTGCTCAGTCTTGAGGCTGATTGTTTCTTCGTGTTACGATTAGTAAATTTGCAGCGGTTATATCTCAGTCGCTCACGACTGCGTCGCGTGGCTACACGCGCTTTCACCGGACTTCAAGGACTAGTTGAACTTGATTTATCAGATAATGAATTAGAACAAGTTCCTTCAGACACTTTTGCTTCCATAGCCAACCTAATGCGGTTGAGCATGGCGGGAAACCCGCTAGGCGAACTACACCGCGAGTCCTTTCAACATCTTGGTCAGTTAAGCTTCCTTGAGCTGAGTCGTTGCCAGCTACATAATATAGAAGAGATGGCATTTATGGGACTGCACGCTCTTGAATGGCTTAGACTTAATGATAATTTACTTACCACCCTGTCTCAACAGGCGCTACCCGCTCCAAGAACCCCACTTCATGGTCTACCTCTGCATGGTAATCCTTGGAAATGTGACTGCCATCTACAAGAATTACGTAGTTGGTTAGATATGTCTCAGGCGCAGGCACCGCAAGAAGCTGAACCTGGTTGTGCTCAACCTTTAAGGCTGAAGGGGCGTAGGCTACGTACTCTTAAAATTCACGAGCTCGCATGTGTTCCTGAGCTCACGATACGCCACTCTGCGGTATTGAATTTAATTCAGGGAGAAAACGCAAGCATTAGTTGTGAAGTACACGCCAATCCAAAACCAACAACGCTATGGTTACTTAACGGCGAACCTCTTAGTATCCCCTCGGTTACTAGGTCTACCGTCACAAGTGAATTTTTTACAACAGCGAATAGGTATGTGAAGTATATTTGTCACAAAATTCTTACCTTACTCAAGCACTTCTATTTGTTTTGAACTCTTTATCTTATGATAAAGATAATTTTTGTTGTTTTTATTATAATGTTATTACTACTATTATGGTATACACAATTGGTCGAAATAAATTTTTTTTTACATTTCTTATAATAAAAAAATTCTCATCATTATTATTAGACTTATATATTGCACTTCAAAATGAAAATCCTAAAAATGCATTTAATATGAACCTTATTTTCGGAACAAATATTTAATAATAAAATCGTATTATTTTTAATACCCTCCCATCTTATGCTACAAAAGTAATAATGTTATAAGTAATATAACTACGATTAGAATTGATTGTAACGACGTTACTTTCGATAAAAGACAATTATAATGCAAATGATACAACATAGCATATTACAATTTTTTTAACGGTAATATCACTTGCATTAAATAATTACCCTAGCTTTAACCAGTGATAATTTGTGATTGCATTGCTTTTGGAAAACAAACATATAAATATAAAATAATATTAGTATTTTCAAATCATACTATGTAAGGTTAGCAAAAAGTAATCTAATTTAATTATTAAATTATTCTTATTGAGTTTTTAATTTTTTTTCTTATTAATTTGTGAATCAGTTTCAATAAATTGGATAATTGGTAAATTGTGTTATCATGGAGGTTTGATGTTCAGTTCTCTAAAATATAATTGACTTCTCACAACATACATTAAAAAAAATACATTATAAGGAAAAAGATTTTAATCACTAAACAAAAATTATAAACATTTACATATATGAGCGAAGTCTCAATTTTATATATGAAACATTCCTTTTGAACGTTACTCTCTACCTGTCTATTTTTCTTTTGACTGAAAAAATTTTACGAGAAACGTAAAATTTATAAATACAATTAAGCTGTCTGATGTCAAGTTGCATTTTGATCCTCGGGGTTACCTTCAATGTCATTTAAAGGTGAACCTATTTTTCAACCGATAATCCTCATTTTTTTATCATAAACTCGGAATCTACGAAAAATTCTACGTTCAGATAAAGTATTACGTGTGAGGCCCACTTGACCCTTCAAAGATGTAAAGGTCAATCATCCTCTTTATTTTTTTCACCTAGTTAACGTAACTACGGTAAGCTTAAAAACAAGAAAATAAATATACAATTTTTACCCGAAGCTTCAGTCACCTTCATATTGAATAATAGTATCACGCGTAGTCGCTGTTTCGTGACTCTTTTGCCTGCAGTACACCACCGCAATCCTTGAGCTAGCTATATATTATAATTTTCTTATATACGTAGTTGTGAAGGTGAACAAAATTTTTTTTAATTATTTTTTTGTAATGAAATGGTATAATTTTATCTTTTAGGCTTGTCTATATTTATTTAAGTATTATCTTATTGTAACTACTTAAATGTATAGTGTCGTAATTGCAGATTAATAAAGTAACGGCGTTACAAGTTTTGCCATTACTGCAATTGCGATTTTGTACCAGCAAAATGATACATACTGAAAAAAATTGTAGTAACAGTTACTATACATATAGTGTAGTGGGAAAATGAACCAAGTATAAATTAATAGTTCATTTTGCTATCTAAAACTTAGTATGAGTTACGACAGTTACTAAATACAGTTAGAAAATACTACAATTTTGTATTATTTTTGTGCAGTCAAATATATAAATCATGTGTCGCAGTGAAAATCTCTTGACAAAAAAATGGCTAAATTTATTACTTTTAAAAATTTAATACAAAAACACTAAATTTGCCTATACTCTTCCAGCATTTTCAAGTTTATTATATATAATGGTTTGATATTACTTCAAGCAATACCGTTACTATTTTAAATTTTGTTATATTACTGTGAACATATAAAACTTTGCATTTATCATTATAGTTGTTACTTTCTTTTTATTATGTCTGACTCAATTACTTTTTCATTTATAGTAAATGCTTTATCTATATCTGTTACCTTTACTGTTGGTTTTCTTATTTGTTCTATTGCAATTTTCAAAGTAAATAGTAATTTTTCAATTACAGTTTTTTTCAATTGCATTTACATTTTCTTTATTCATAGAGTTCATTATAATAGTGTCCTTATTTTTTCTTTGAATATTTTTTGTCTGAATATTTTTGTCTTTAATTAAGTAATAAGCTACTATATTTGCCAAGTTTGTGTTATCATTAGTAATTTAAAAAAATTTTTTTTAATATATTAATATATTAATTTTAATTAATTTTAATAATTAGTTTTTTAACTTTTAATTTTGGATTTCTTCTGTTTTTAGGGCTAGGTACTTTCCCGTATAAAATAAAAATTTTATTCTTAGGTATTTTGACCCTTCGAATCCGAGCCTGTATATAGATTTTTTAAAACAAGGGAGAAATTTATTTAAAATGCAATTGTTTAAACAAAATGTAAAAAATAGTTTTTCGATCCGATCAAAATTTTTTTTAGATAATATGGCATATTCTATAAAGAAAAGGTCTCTTGCGATTTTTTCGTGAAATGCATCGTTTAAAAGCTATAAATTTTCAAAGTTAAAAATTTGACGTTTTTTATTAAAATTCGACATTAAGAAAAAATCATCTTATTCTTTGAACTTTTATTTACAAATTTATATAATTCAACTTAAATTCAATTCTTTCAAAAACGTACTTTTAGGTAATTAATGAGAAGACTTTTTTGATACTGTGATGTGTACATGTATTGTATTTACAATGCATACATGTTATCTCAGTACATTGTACCTACATTTTTCTGTTTACGACATGAGTCAAATAATTGTTGCTATAGTTATATAACTATTAAAATAAATTTTATTCAATTATTATAGCTTTATAATTATAAAAATATTAATTATTTCTTAAAAATATGAATCATGAATCACAAAAGCATTATAGTTGTTTTATATTATATTTGAATCAATCATTCAAATTGTACGCCGTTGGCTCTCTCTCTCTCTCTCTCTCTCTCTCTCTCTCTCTTTCTCTCTCTGTCTCTCTTGACGTCGAAAACACCACCGTTCACTTGTTTACATATTTTGCACTCTGTGCATGTTGAGCATGTCATTGAGTAGTAGCTAGGATATTTTCGAAGTGTGGTGCTTGTAAAGTGTTACAATGTAATATAAAGAGATTTTAAATGAAAAATGCCAAAAAGGGATATACTTCATTATTCTATAATTTGTCAAAAAGCTGCTAGTCTCTCATTAATGAGCCATGAAAAATTACGACAAAAAATATGGTTAGCAGCAGAAACAAGAAGACGAGATTTACACTCACTTATTAGTACTGAATGATCGGAGTGAGTACATCTCTTTTTACAATAATAAATTAATGCAATATTAAATATTGTTTTACTACGCGCTTATCAAATATTCATATATTAATTTTTATATAATTCGATAATAATCAGGTATTTCAAACATCACCGATTTGCATTCCGCACTACACTTCCAACTTTCATACAAATATTATAATGTTGCTACATACAAAATTACATTCTTATTTTGTTTGTAAATAATGAACAAAATTGCAATCGTTGACAAAAAAATTTCAATGTCAATTACAATTCATCGCAGTATTTTAAAACAATTATTTAGTTATGAAATCAGCCCGGAAAAATATGTTGTTTGACGACAATGGTATGATGACAAAAGAAAAAAAATAAATTTGAATTAGTTGGTGAACCTGAAGAACAAGTTCAGTCACAAATTCACTCTATTGTAATGATAGATTCAAAAATGAATGTTATAGTTGACATAAAGCTGTATTGTAGAGAATTACGGTGGAAATAGTTATTTATGCACCTTGGACTGTAGCACGTTGTATTACGTCGAGGGACGCTGAGAAGTGGAAGAGGGCAGTGGAGAGTCCGAGGCCGTTGCGCGTCCCTCGACGTAATACAACGTGCTACAGTCCAAACTGTATCCAACAAATCCAACATTAACAATTTTTTAATTTTGGCGCCCGTAAGCCGATTTTTAACCCTAACCCGGTTATAATTGGAATTGATGTAATTATGGTAAACATTTTTGTCGACACTCTCATTTTCTTCAGCACTCTCCGAGTCACTTGCTGAATCAACATTTTCCTTGTTTGCATTAAACATTTTCGTTAAATCCATTTTAAATCAATTTTCACTACGACTGACGTAACTCTTCAATACTTCACTATCCCCTTTGACCCTCCTCCTCCCCTCTCTTTAACATTTTCTAAGGCATGCATTATACTTTTTTCATAGTACAGAAAACTGCCACGTAGAGGGCTCTACTCGTCCTGCGACATAACAGCTGCTGTAATGTTGACGGGCCAGGCTCCTGGACTATAATGGCTATTATAGTCCAGGACGCTAGACTATCATGAGTCATTATAGTCCAGGACCCTCCTCCGCTATACTAGACTACTTTCTACGCTGAGCATGCTCTACACGTAAAAAGCTGCTTACGGGCGCCTAAACTGAAAAACTTGTATAACTTCGAGGAATTTGCTAATAGTTTTTGCACACTAATCAAGTCAAGTGCTCTTACCAATCTTACTAATAGAATTGATTTCGTTTTTGACAATTACTCTGAAGAGTATGTAAAAGTATCCAAACGGAAACGTCGATCATATAGTAAATCAATAGAATTTATTTAAAATAAAATCAAATACTCCATTGCCGCATCAAGAAGAAAAATGTTGGATTTTTTTAAGAACGAAATAATGTTGCAAATGTTTTCACGTAATTTCATACTTCTTTATTGTGAATTGGTTTTGCCTGATGTTGAAGTAATTTTTAGCACAGTATAATCAATTGAAAAATGATTTAACAATGCCTATTTTACAAAGATTCTACATCGAAGCAGCAGATATTAAAAAGATGATACATATGCACGAAAGTTCTATGGCAGACACATACATTAGTAGTACTCAATTTTGGGGAAACATTTGCAATGCATGTATTGCAGGTTAGAATATTGGTATGTCTTATTTTAAGT